GTAATCCTCGAGCGCTGAACATTCCACAGCATTCCTCATCACTCCTAATCTAATGACACCGTCCACTCCTCCAATCCTTCTCCTAACACACGGAATGTCATGGTCACTAAAGTAGAACGTTTCGGATATTGGTTTCTGCTCTTTACTATCACTTTTGCTTCTTGCCATCTAGAGGTCACAAACTGTCTGGCTGTCTGTTTTGGCAGAGGCAGAAACACAGAGGAACGGTCTCCCGAGTGCTGCCCCAATTCCAAACCCTGATGTAATCCACCCCAAGGATTTGCACACAAAATATGGTGCAATGGCTGGAGACATACATGTAATGACTTCTGTATTTTTCAGTCTTTGGTGGGTTTATGTATGAATTATTTTACCAAACAGGTTCAAAGTCAGAGTTGAAAACACATTTAACTGACCTCTTGCTTTGAGTGACCCTATACCTTAATTATGTTTTTTATTAAAACAAAAGACTGACCATCCCATGTTGTTACTAACAAAACAGTTATAACACTACCGAAACTTTACCAAATGTTTCAGGATTGACTGTTTTGGTAATGACAATGTTAACTAATTGTAAGTAGAACTCAGAAACTCTAGCCAGTACATGACTAGCAAACACAGCTTTGAACGATTGTACACAGGGCCATAAACAGGGATCAAAGTGTTGGTGAGGTCCATTTTGCAGTAGAGTGACCTACATGTCATAGTGAACTAAACCATTTGCTGGACATGAGTACTACACCAACCAGTCAACCTCCTTTTTATCAAATCATTGTTCCTTTTTCTGTCCATAATTGTTATGCACTTTTTGCTTTCATTTGTCCTTTTCGCATCCCTCCATTCGTCCATGACCCATAAACTGATTTAACTCCAGAGACCCTGTTTAACTGTATTTAATTATCTATTTAACCCTATGTTAACCCTTTAACCATCCAGGCTTATTACATACAAAGGCGTATTATTCAGTAGCTACAGGGACTTCAGTGCAAACCAGTGGAGCTATTCTTAGGTTATAGAAGTGTGTATTAATAATTTGGGCCCAAAGTATTTGGGTCCGCTTGTTAAGTTAAACACTGTACATTAAATCAAGTGATAGTTTCACAGACCCCAGCTGATGGGAAGGTAGGCTACACATACAGTTAACCCCTTAAAATCCCAGGTTCATTACATACTAAGGCTGATTATTCAGTAACTATAGGGACTTCAGTGCAAACTGGCTAAGCTGTTCTTAGGATAGAGAAGTGTGTAATAAAACTTTGGGCCCTTTAAGGGGTTAATGAGAAAAAATACAGCCAAATGTACTGGTTAGTTTCTTAATTATGTTACAAGATACTATGCCATTAATTTGCTAGTTGACAGTGAACTTTTTATGTTGGTTGTAGTATTTTATGTATGAGTAGATAACACAATACTTTAATTTCTCTATGTAATATAATAATCTGTATAAAATAATAATCTGTGTAATATAATAATCTCACAACTACAAAGCTTGTAGCCTAAACTGAGCAGCTAGTGGAACTAGGCTAAGTCATGCTGATTTAGCTAGCAATATTACTAGGAATGGTAACATGAGTTATGGGGATTGCATTTAAAAGCATAATCTGTTAATTAAACTCCAGGGAGGGGGAGTAGCTAAGTAGCACGCTACTTTTTGTAGCTAACTACAAATTTTTGTAGCCAATAGCTGTAGCCGCTACAGTTTTATGAAACGTAGCTAATAGCTGTAGCGCCTACAAATTTTTGTGTAGCTATATCGATAGTTTTCGCTACAATTTCGCTACAGGCTTCAGGCAATCTGTGCAAAATCTGAACCACAGAACGCGGCCATTAACTGGGCTAGTGGCGATTGTGCAATCTTGACTGAGCCACGGACAGTTTGAGCAAACAGTCATGTGCTAGCCCCACATGCTGATCACCCCTTACTAGCAGGCTTAGCTCAGGGGTCGGAAACCGAAATGTTAAGAAAAGCCATTTTGTCCTTTCAACAAAAATGAAACCACTTTGGGAGGCACAGCATTTTGTGTCCGTTTTACCATCATGGCTGTAAGAAAGTCTCGGTATATGCTAATGTGCTAGTACAGGCTAAAAATATAATATAAATGAAAATGCAGACTTACTTTGCTCTGCTTTAACCTTTAACTCAGCTATAGCCGCTTTTCTCACATCTCAAGAAACTTCTCAGCGAGTTTCTTGTAAAATGTTTCTCAGTGTTTGACTTTTTATGAGGCTGAAGTCACTTCTCTTTCACCAGCTTCTCGTTTGAATTGTCCCGTTCCACCTTAAATAGTGCCTGAGGCGCCAGATTGTACTGCTGCGCCAAGGTGGAACGGGAGAATTCAAACAAGAAGCTGGCGAATGAGAAGCTGACTTCAGCTTCGCAACTTGTTGCAGATTAAACATATGAGAAAACCAGCTGGAGTGATCATAAACACAAATAAGTCCATTCATCTTCAAATTATCGATGTTCATCTTAAATCTCTCTCTTTGTCATTTCGTTATCTTTATTGCTGTGTGACCGGCAGTCTGCACTTCAGTCTTCAGCATTAAAGGGTGAATTAGCAGTTATACATTAACTCCAGCGTTTAAGACCATTTATTGTGAAAACTGTGTTAGAACTGTGTGTTATAATGATTTTACAGTAAAGGAGGATTATGTTTTTTTTTAAATCTAGTTCTGCTGTGGAGCCGCAACAGCTCTGCAGCAGTGGAGAGATTATTCAGCTTTGGGCCTAAAGTATTGTTGAAGTTTAACAAAGGACTCATGTCATGTCATGTCTATTTATATCTTGCTGAAATGTTTAAATTAGAGCAGTTTTATTTTAACAGTTGACAACAGTTGTTTGGCTTGTATTCTGTTATTTTTCTTGATTTTTGATAGATGTGGAGATTCACAAACATTCTGACAGTCACCCTTTGAAAGTAGCTAAAAAGTAGTGTACTACTTTTCAAAAAGTAGCTAAATTGTAGCTAGCTACAAATTTTGGGAAAGTAGCTACAAAGTAACTAGCTACTGATTTTTCAGTAGCTATCCCAACCCTGCCAGCATCTTCTTCTCCACCACCAACTCCACTGTGTCCAATTTAGCTCCCAGGACTGAGCCAGCCTTTCTAATGATCTTGTTCAGTCTGTTAGAGTCCTTCACTCTAATACTGCTGCTCCAGTACACAACAGCCTAAAAATTAACACTTGACACCACAGACTCATAGAAAGTTCTCAGCAGCTGGCGTCTTACAGCGAAGGACCTCAGCCTCACCCTTACAGTCTGCTCTAACATACAGCTCTGTTGCCACACGTGCTAGTGCCTGCCAGTCAGATTAGTCAATGATCCAGGATACCAGGGTAGTGTCCACCTGCACCTTACTCAGCTTATCTCTCAGCAGGAGGGGCTGGATGGTGTTGAAGGCCCTAGAGGTCAAAGAACGTGACTCTTACAGTGCTCCAGGTGTGAGTAACCGCTGCGCAACAGCTAGATCACGGCATCCTCAACCCCTACATGCAGCCGATAGGCAAATTGAAAGGGGTTCGATGCCGCGTCCACATGTACCCTGAGATCTTTGGTGTTGGGACTGTGCAAGATCTCTTTAAAAGTACTGGGACCCTCTGCAGCCTCAGGTTCAGTTTGTATATGTACTGCAGGGCTCCACACAGCTGGTCTGCACCGGCCTTCAGTACCTTAGCACTGGCCACCATTAGGGCTCTCTGCTTTTCGTGCCTTCAATCATTGTACCTCCCTTCTCACCTGGTCAGCTGTGATGTAGAAATCCGGATGAGGAGGAGACGGGTGAGATAGTGGAGGCTGAGCGTCATTTGGGAGCTGAAGAGGACACAAAGGGAGGGTGTGATGGAGTGATGTCCCGGGTAATGGATTTGCGAATGGCCCATTATCAAACCTATTAAAGAAAGTGTTCAGCTCACTTGCCCTCATCCAGCTCTGCTCATCCTGCTGATTGCAGGGCAACTTATAGCCTGACACTTTATTTTATTCTGTTCCAAACTTCTTTCAACTCACCCTTCTGAAGATTGCTGTTTATTTTCCTCCTACAGTCCTCCTTACACTCTCTAGTTCTCACCTTCCAATCTCCCTATATACTCCTCATACCATCCCTAGCCCTATGTGCAACAGAGAAAGATTATTTTTCTGAGCCTTTGGCAGCCCTGCTCTGTAAGTTTGCATGGTCTGCCGCTTTGCAGTTGAGCTGTTGTTGCTCCTAGATGCTCACAAATAATAGCACTTACAGTTGACTGTATATGATGGTTCTTTAAGGATTCTTTAGTAAAGAAAATGGTTCTATATAGAACCATGAACACTCAGAGAACCCTTTGCAGTATTAATATATGCATGGTGAAGGATTTCTTCAGACTGATGGAGCACATTCTCCATCAATCTGAAGAAACCTTTCATGATGCAAAGAACCCTTTTGGGTGCTATATAGAACCATTTTCAAAAATATTCTATATACAACCATATACAACAAATTTTCCAACAATATGAAAAACTGTTTCACCAAGCAAAGAACCATTAAGGATAAAATGGTTCTTTATAGAGCTCACGGTTCTAAATAGAACCATTGCGTTTACTAAAAAACCCTTGAAGAACAACTTTTTTTATATGTGTGCTGCCAAGGTTTGTCTATGGAGACTGCATGGCTATATGGTTGATTTTGTACTCATTAGCTGAAGGCCTGCTGAAACACATGAACTCAATAATTAGGAGTTGTATATATATACATATACATGTATGTATGTATATATGGGATTAATAAAGTGATCAATGTATCTATACATCCATCTATTTATCTATCCCTTGGTATCGGTACAGGTGCCGGGTTATTAACATTGGTGTTACTTGGTAGTGAATTAATAATGGCAGGGCTCATCCCTACTGTGAGCATAAAGTACTAGTCAATCATAGCGCAGGGGGGCGGGGCTTGTCAGAGTACTTATGAGGAAAAATAAACCAACCCACAAACGAGGGAAAGAGGTGACGAACACTGGAGTTGTGTAGCGGAGGATGAATGGGAGACGGTCTCCGGGGAGAAAACACACACACATACATGCACGCGCACACACACGCGCGAGCGCACAGACACCAGCTGTGTTCCGATTGGCTGCTTCTCCGGATCATAAAAGGAGCGGGAAGGTCTCGGGCGCCAATCAGCTCTATTTGATGTGCGCGAGAGGCAGTGGACGTTTCATCCGCGAGCTCAGCGAACACACTGCTCCGTATTCCTTTGACGGCTTTAACGGAAAGAACACGCCTTGAATTTTGTCTCATAAAAGCGGAGGATTGAATGGAAACGTTTCTGTGTTTGAGAACATTAGCCGTCCGTTAGTCACTGGCTGCACGAGCGAGGCTAGCTCGGCTAATTCTCCTGCACTCTCTGAGGATGTGACGGTTAGCCAAGCTAGCTGTTTTGAAGCGGAGCAGCCTGATAAGGTTAGTTATGTTCCGTTATCGTCATTGTATCGCTACGTCGACGTCTTTGTGGTTATTCTGAAACAAGGCTGTGTGAGGACACCTCAGTGAAAGAATAGCCTAGCCATAAAGAAGAGACTGAGGCGATAACGGTAACGTTAACGTTAATCCAACCGCGATGATGCGGTTATGCGTCCGGGGCAGCACGTAGGTCAGGTCACACCACCGGAGTGTGGTCCCGGTACCTCTTCGTTGTGATTCGCTAGGATGGGACACGCTGGCTCCGTAAAGCTCCGTGCTGCTCTCCGTGTGCTGCGTTCAGCGCTCTGCGGGTCTCCGGTCGAAGCTACGGCGGCTGGTTGCGAATTTCTGGCCTGAGCCGAGCGCTTCCCTCCCCCCGTTCGGCCTTTCAGATCAGCGGACTCTCCCCGGTCCGGGAGCGGCAGAGTTGGAGGATATACCAGACGGACCTGGACCTCCAGAGTACCAACAATGGACGATACCGGAATCATTCGGCGCAGGAGGCTGCAGGTGAGGTCCAGCTACATGGATGTAAGTCCATAATACTGGATATAGTGCTGAATTACGCTGCAACGCCGGTGGTTATTCAGCGCTGACAGTCTTGTGTAGTCCGTTTAGGATTAATCTGAGAGTAGGAAAACTGAGCTAATGTTTACAGCCCTGAATTACTGAAGCAAAACCTTTGTTACTGCAGTTAAATGAATTCAAACAGAAGTAAAAGTATGTTAGCTGCCACCACCACTACCACCGCCAACAACAACAAAAACAAGTGATGAGTGCCGTTCAGAACTGCACAGGAACTTCATAGCTCATCCTTTATCTATCAGCATAGGAACAGAGTTATTTCAGGTCACAGTCATCTTTTTTTGTATCATTCTAGTCTAAAATAAAATGCAAAAGCTCCAAAATTGGAGGTGTGAGCAACAGCACAGCTGTCCAGTAGCTAGAACACAATTTGATTAAAGCTAAGAAAAGCGATGAGGAGCTAAATGTGAATGACTAAAATTGAACTGAGTGAAAAAATAGCATATTCCTCATGAATATGCTCAAATCATAGTGTTTCATTTAAAAAGTATAAATATGTCAAAGCTTTACCTAGTTACAATCTAGTACAAGGAACAGAGTGGATGCAGAAGTTACTGTACACCTTTGGGGATTTCCAGCATTGACGTGCTTGAGTCACAAAGCCCATGATCGCACAGTATCTGTCACATCACATACAGTGCATATGCTTTTGTCTCCTGTGATTCACTGAACAGGGCTCCAGAGAAAGGAAATAGGATATGAGCAGTTTGCTCACAGAGGAGAAGCCATCCCTTTAATGTGAGATGTTAGTTCATGGATTGTTTACTTTAGATGTGCTAATGTAGATGTTATGGACATAATGACCTGGTCATGAGAGAGCTGTGGCTCTAATGGCCTGGATACATAATAAACAGTGTGACCCTTTCAGTGAGTGCTCTTCATGGGAATTAATTTTTAGTCTAAGACAAGGCATAATTTGGGTGTTTGTGCTGAGAACGCATTGCAGGACAGCATGAGACGTTGCACGTTTTGAGGAAAGGTCTATATGGTTGCTAATTGGAAGCCACTGTCAGCTGTTATGTGGTGAACCACGGCTATCAGAAGTGTGTTCACTGATTTAGAGACCACTGTGTAATGATAAAGATAGGAAAGATGTTGGTGATGTCCAGGTCTGATACAGTGGATGGGTATCAGCTGATCAGCATCAGCATCCGTTGGTTTTGACTGATTCATATTTGATAGTGTTTATTTGTCATAGATCTTATAAAATTTTAATTATGCAGATTTTTAAGCCTTCTAGAACAGTATAATAAAAATTTACACAATCCTAGAAAATTTGATGTATGACGACTTTCTCCACTCTGGGACTTTAGTCCGTACTGTATTTTGCATTCATTTATTCTCTTTAAGAGGAGAATCCATCCATTTGGAGGCTATCTACATGAGGACAAGAGAGTGGTGCTCTTTGGTGCGCACTTGCATAGTTAACAGTTGCAAACGGTTGTTGTGAGAATGTATATGTGCATGTTTCCGATAGAGGGGAAGGATTGTTGGGTTGGCGCTCAAATAATTGTCCTCTAACGGTTTGTTCCCTCCCTTGGGTCTCTCTTCTCCATCTGATGCAGACTCTCTCTCTCACACGCATGCACACAGTGTAGAGAAGAGACAGTTAACACCCCCTGCCAGTCTGCTCTGTCGCTACCATATGGTGCAACACGCAGTCTCTGGAGAGCAAAGGTCAGAGGTCACTCCAATGATTCACTGCTTTTTGGAGATATTATGGGGGGAGGTGAGCTTATATCTTCTCCAGTTTGGTAAATGTATTCTTCAGTCCGCTGTGCTGATGTGCTGTGTCTTCAAAAACATAAGCAATAGGACCATTAGTCTCTAGCAACGTGGACAACATGATGTAAAAGGGCTGTAACCATTATAGCTGGTAGAAATAATGCGTGTCATAAAATCCCACACAACCTATGAGCTTCTCAAAAGCATTGTAAATGCCTTAAAGTCCCCAATCAGGAATGGCTGGAGCAATCCCATGACTAAGAGCACAACAAACATAGCTTTTATATGGTATAGCAGGAGCTGTATTATCTGAACTCTGTGTTCTTTTGCTGTGCTCAAAGCAGGGCTTCCAGCTGTGGTTAATTAAAAAATAAATTGCATTTGCAAAACCAGTGAGGATCAAAAATAAATGTTTGAAAATTGAAAAAATGGTTTAATTAAAGAAAAAAGAGATTTAGTCACTGCAGGTTAAAGCAGCAGTTTTTCATGTTTTTCAGATGGAGAGATGGAAGCCACCCTTTCAGATGAGCTAACACTACGCTCATAGCAAACAGGGTTTGCATGACTTGCAACAATAGCTGAACCCTTCTGATACAATATAGAGCCATTTTTAAAAGGTTCTTTAAGAACCATACACAACAGCTTTTGATTCTTTGTCATGGTTCTATATGTAACCAATATCTTTGCTAAAGAACCCTTTTTAAGGGTGTAAAGCTAATGCCAATGGTAACAGGTACAGTGTAGATGATGAGGGGAGCGCTTATTTTTTGGTAATTTTATTTAACCTTTAATTAAACCAGGCAAATCATTAAGAACATATTTTTATTCACAATGTTGGTGAAAAGGCTACTTGAGAGAGACAGAGACACAAAAGGGTCTAAAACAACAACTGAATTCCTCATTTTGTACATATTTTTTATATTTTTTTATTTTATCTTTTAGCAGGGGTGGCATGGTGGTGCAGTGGGTAGCGCTGTCGCCTCACAGCAAGAAGGGTCTGGGTTCGATTCCCGGCCGGGTGACCAGGGTCATTTCTGTGTGGAGTTTGCATGTTCTCCCCGTGTCTGCGTGGGTTTCCTCCGGGTACTCCGGTTTCCTCCCACAGTCCAAAAACATGTAGGCAGGCTGATTAGACAAGCTAAATTGCCCCTAGGTGTGTGTGAATGTGTATGTCTGTCTGTCTGCCCTGCGATGGACTGGAGTCCTGTCCAGGGTGTATCCTGCCTTCCGCCCAATGACAGCTGGCATAGGCTTCAGCACCCCACCGCGACCCAGAAGGATAAGCGGTTTAGATGATGGATGGATGGATCTTTTAGCAGACCTCAGTGATAGCAATGCAAAAGTGACCACACTAGTATTTATTTCTGCACAATTTGTTTTTAAATTGCAAATGTGAGCAAAACTGTCACACTGTACAACCGTGCTATAAGGTCAGTTAATACAGGGTCCTAGGATGATCTTTAGAACTCAGGATATCCTGGAAGCAAGACTCAGAGGGCAGCGTCCGACTGGCATTACACTAAGTTTGGAAAAGAAATGCATAATCATTGTATGCGCAATCTAAAAATGTGCAGCAGGATGAAGAGATCCATCGTGCTCAGTTAGTACCCGAGTCTGACACTTATGCAGTGATGCTGCTGCTGTAATGGAGTGTCCTTCCTATTAGTTTAATTGCCAGAAGGGCCGCTCTGCCAGTCTCTTACTTAGACATCATTAGTGATGTTGACTTCTGAAATTCTGTCTGCATGCTTGCAATTCTCTTGGTCAGGCAGGAAGAGAGAGAGAGAGGCAGGACAGAGTGATAAGTCACTGGTTGTTTGGATGGCTGTTGCGCTATGCTGGCAGGGAGAACCCTGTTAGATAAACTGCGTGGCTGTCGGCCCCAGCATGGCTCTGCAAGCCTATGCTCTCTAAATAATGGCTTTGTACCAGGCACCGGGCATTCGGCCCAGCTCATACCATTTCATTAATGCTTTCATGTCTTTTCCGTCCATCCCTCCATCTCTATGTTTCTAAGGTAGGAGGCCCCGATGGGCATGACGTCGGAGTAGGCCATATTGAGCAGGCCATTTTAAAAAATATTGCTCTGATGCTGCAAGCTCTTACTCACAGTCTGGCCAGCTTAGCAGCACTGATGGCAAGCTGTCATAGGCCTGCAGCTTCTGGATGGGGTTTGAAATGGAGGTCTACTTCATTCTCTCTCTCTTACTGTCACTCTCTCTGTCTCTCTCTCTCTCATTTCTGCTCCCAGAGATCTGCCTTCCTTCAGATTTCACCTCCAACCCAAATCTAACACACCTCATTCAGCTAATCAAGGACTTCTAAAGGCAATAATTAGATGGATCAGGTGGGATTGATTAAGATAGGAGCTAAAGTCTGCAGGAAGATAGATCTCCAGGGGCAGGGTTAATGACCACTTGTATACATTTTAATATTCAATAAAATATGTTCACATTTTTTGGCCAAAATAAGAATAGTTTCTCCAGTCACATTTGTGTATTTTTAAACAATTTTAAATCGTGCCGAAATGATTGAAAATAATCTAATCAAATCATAGAGAAATTTCATGATGCATTAATTTTAGGGATGTATAATGGTATTGGAATCGTATTGGTATCAGCAGCAAGCAACACGAGTGAGCATCAACATCAAAATGTTCCCATTACAATCAATGAAGCTGTCTATGCCAGCTACCAGTGGCAGGGGTGATGCAGTGTGATGCGACATGCTGTTTTTGACTGATACCCATTTCTGTTTTTGATGTCTTGTATCACTTTGCCATTCTATCTCAGATGGAAGAGGAGAAACTCATCTATGTAGTGGAAAAAAGGAGAGATCTCTAAGACTATTCCAGTGAAAAACTTTGAGAAAATTGGAGTACAGGAAGTTAGAGGTGAATGCTGCTTGTTTGGTGGCACTGATTGATAGCGATACTTAGGTAGTTAGCTAAGTAGACCCAGCGGATACAAGTTAGCAGGTACAACGGAGCTGCCCAACTTCATGGTAAATACTAAATACATGGTATAATACTATTTTAACACTGTTATTTAGGTTACTGATGTTAGTTGTTGGTGTTAAACATAGCCCATTATACACTCAATAAATCAGTATCAATCAAACAAAACACAACATTTCCACTGTAGACATCCTAAGGGCTTTGAGAAGCAATGCAATACTACATTTTAACACTGACTTGCTGT